TCCATTACTTCAGAGGGCGAAAACCAACTAGACGGATGAGACGTGATAGACAGTGATTGGCAAGCAACTGATGAAAATGACGGTTTTTGTGCTATCGTGTTTGCGCGACTGACCACCTGCAACAGTACCCTACATGCTCGTCCAAGTTTTATATTCCCACAAATACACCAGGATTGGAGTCTGGCAGGCAGCACAACATTCAGCTCCCAACAAACTGTTTATGGTTTTATGGTTTATGAGGTAACATTCGGCCCTTACTTCACTGCAGACCAGTGAGTCTGGCTCCGATACTAGCTACCTATTGAGTGAGCTTTGCAGCCAACCAAAAAACGCTGTCCTTTTTTTGAGAAAACAGCTTATGGCCCTATCATTTTGGCTATCTCTGCAGTTATTTTAAACTACAAGTGAGAACACATTCAAAGGCGAAAGGCGAATTTCTAGGATCAGAATGCGCAATTTTACATAAAGAGACCAAAACATGGTAACGATTTGGAAAAACGTGCAAATCAGCCATCCAGAGCGAGAAGAGAACAAAAAGCAATTTAAAGATGAAACTCTCAGGCCAACAATTATTCAGCAGTGATACATATTACAATAAAATGTGCATCTGTTGTGACGGGGCGTACCGTCCTATTTGGTTACTCCTGAACTAAGCATGCCAAACTGGGCGATGAGGTACAAGGACATAGTTGCATTGTCAGGTCAGGTCAAACACAGCTTAAACGTAAACATATAGATTGGCTAAATGGTCGTTTTTTCGTTCGCTTGTTCATTCTGTCCAGCGACATCCCTGTAGTGAAAAATTTCTCACCCACTTAGCTGGTCGCGTGCTGCTATCCGCAACGTATGGTGGCCGATGGTGACCTTGGGGACGCACCGTTTTCTGCACATACCCGCCGAGCATTATTAGTGGCACCCGACGTACTGTCAAAAGTTTGTCACGTTTTGACACTTTTGACATATTACCCTAGATCCTGTCTTTCCCACTCTAAGGACATTTAGGCAAATGGTCTGATGATACCGAAGCAGACATCCCGATAATAGCACTGAAAGCATTTAGAAGCCCTTCAGTCGATAAGGTCGCGTTCCCCATTTTCAAGAATGACACGAAGAATAATGAATTTGTGAAGGAAAAACTACTAGTTGGATGGTGATGATATTTGCCAAGTGGTCTATTCTTTTCAAAAAAAATCTAATGGTATGTTACACCACCACGTAAATTTAACCCTCAGTTGATGTCACGCAATTGTTCGTTTGAGACAGTGGGATCTAGAGTGGCCTTAGTGAGGCACAAAGAACTGCGCTCTAGACGGCTTCGGTCAAGTAGAAATAGACGGTTGATTAATTCTTGAGAAAGTATTAGCAACATTTATGGTCTCCAAAATTTACCTTGTACTTTGTGCTTTTGAGGCTGAACGACAATTTTATGCAACTTACCCGACAATTGCGCAATTTGAATGAAATTTAATGTGACCCATTTGTTCAGAACATCACTCTCTTGAAACGAGATAGGTAAGGTTACATGTATCATAATGTGTAATATCAGCCTAAACTATAGCTTAATTCTATACTTTACATTTAATATGAGAAGAACGTTGTCCTTAATGTATATCTGGTCCAAATGAACGTGTGATCTCACAAACAAACGGATACAAATTAGTTACTCGGGATATTCTAGTGACAATATTTCCTGTGGAGCGCACGCTTAGTTTTCAGACTTAAATATCAATATCACCTCTTAAGGAGAAGTGCTGTATGGTAGACCAGTGAGTACGCTGTACGCATTCAGTGGGTATACTCTCTGTAAGCCCATAGTACAGCTTTTTCTGCGGAATTTTGCGAAAAGCCCTCTTCGAAGAAATGTTACTTGACTGCTTTTCTCTGGTCTACACATATCTTGACCTGAACGCTATAATCCGAAATCACTGAAATCAGGAAATGAGTCGTTAATCGAAAAATTACGTTGTCTATTCTGTCGGTCGGTTCGACCCCAAGCATGTTTGAAGTATGACAATAAAATACATGCAAGAGCAGTCAATGGACTTAAATGCTACGCTGATCTCGCTCTGTCGGATCAGGACAACCAGAAATCTATCAGTTTGATAGTTGTCTTCATATGTAGGCTCAGGACTGATCTGATTGGATTAGCGTCTGTTCAGATTTGTCTGCGGGCGCTCCAAAATAGATTTGTCTCGCTCATACAGCTAGCCTATTTCCAACCACTGTGAAAACGCGATAGAAGTGTTGTGTCCGTATCAAATTTCCTTCAACCGTGAAAAATGGTATTGTCTCGCTATTTCCGGAACATAAAATAGGGATCTTATTTTTGAAGTGAGTCAAGCGTGTAGTATGATTGTTTCATATGCTATTTCGCACTCGTAGCTTCTGAGACGCAGGAGATAGCGCGGCTTTGATGGCTTCGTTATGTTGTCGTGTGTGAGAAGTTATATCCCTGGAAAATGAACTTAAAATCACTCGCCACTCACAAGTAGAGAGGCATAAAGTTAACTAAAACCATGACACAAACAGTGACTAACCAGAACTGGATGGGTTTTTTGGCCGCATATGCCTATATGGGATGGAGAACTAATTATCTATCACCCTGAAAAATTCGATAATTATCTTAATATATTCAAGCAGCAATGCAGAATTTCTGGCGAGATTTCGAAGACCTACCAACTAGATCAGCTCATCCGTGCCTGAGCTCTTTATCGCAAACGTAATGAGGCTGAATAACATCAGACCTTTAATTTTCTACACCATAAACTGGTTTCCATAAGACATTCGCGGTAATAAGAGAGGCTGATGTTAAAAGCGATTGTCAAAAGGTAGTGAGCTAGATAATGTGGTGTGGTGAAAGACTATATGAGAGTGAAATTTGAAATAAATCATTGCTTTTGTTACACAGGAAGAGCTTTACAAGCAGTTTAGGAAAAAGGACAGGCTGCTTTAGACAGAAAAAATATTATGTTGTCCTCCAGGAGGAACATTATGATGGACTACTTCAAATCCATTCAGCCTAGCTGATAAGCGAAGAGGAAAACTCACACGACAGTATTCCAGTTTCATTTACGTTACACGTGGTGTAACTGGCAGTGTCCAATTCAACAGGTTGTCCTGGCTTATAGTGATGTAACCAGAAAACCTGTCGAAAGGGTGGGGCATGAATTGAAATAAAGTACATGCAGAATTCTACCTTCAGAGTACCTTAACCTGTAAAGAGATGACCGATATTAAGGTATTTCCTGGAGGAGTGCTGTGAATTTCCGGGGTGGTGTGCTCACCTAATAAACGGAACAGGATGTGTAAATTGATCATTGCCGTTAGGCATTCAGTAGGGTTAGAATTTAAGTTGGAAAACTATGAACACTAATTTCTAGAATTCAGACCTCTCTGACACTTTTTGTGACACGCGCTCTCGTCTTCCGCATCTTCACAATGTATCCTACTTACAATGATGTGGTTGGCTACTCAAGCACACACAGAAAATTTATCCATCCAAACTTTAAGATACGAGAGCGTTCAGAGTTTGTTCGTAGAGTTGTAGTAACAAATTTCAAGCATGCATATTAACTGCCGGTAACTTCTAGTACGACCGAAACTTGACCCCTGTGCATCACCGATTTGAAGTAGAACAACCAAACGCATCACATCACGCATGGGCTCTTTGAAAATGGGAAGGGGAATATGTCTTTCAAATTACTAAAGCCCTCACTGGATGGGAAGGAAGAAAAGTGGGTTGAGATGGCGCATAATTATCCTGCTCTAAGTTAAACACTTCAGAAAAGTTGTGTCCAGGACATGCCATTGTAGGCGAACATTCTCAGAGTTGTTTTCAACACGAAATAAACTAAAGTAAACCTTACGTGCATTTTAGTTGTATATGATGTACTCACGACTGCTGTCGATATGAGAGATAAAAATCTCAGTGTGCTTGTCTCGGAAGCGCACGGTGTCAACTGACCACTAAACTATTCAGATGCGCTTAAGTGACGGTCAAAACTAACAAAAAAGTCTCGCACTGAACGAAGCAAATGAAAGCAGAGCATATGGCTTTTATTTTAGCACGTGGAGTAAAAGCTTTACTCCATTCTGTACTTCAATAAAGGTTTGTTAGTTTTGCTTTCTGTTTTAGGCACGTGGACGAAATGCGATGATTTATTCAGGATGTGTGCCCAGTGGTCTGGTTTTGAAACACAAGATCCCATGAAACCAGAATTGTTCTTCGTTGATGTCGCATGCAATTTATCTTACGCTTCCGCCCAAATCCCTTGAGTTTGTTTCACACGAAACGAAAATTCATGTAGAGTACAGATAAAGAACTGGCTGAATTGCTTCCCACATCCAGCAAATGGACAAATGCACAGCTAATCAAAACGAACAAACGCATTCAGCTGTCTATAATATTTGGCCCAATTACCTGTTCACCAAAGCAGCCTCCCAGACGATAGAAATTACCATTGTTCCATTTCTGCAATAGGATAATATAATGAAGTCAACTTGGTGGGAATATTTTATTAGAATTCTTTGGGACAGCCAGACTTCTGCGAAATAAGTAGTTCCAGCAGGCCAACTGGGCGAAGCACACACTATATAGTTCAATAAGGCTCTTTACGTTTACTTCATTGTCCCGTTTGTTGTTCTTGAATTTTGCGCAGCTATGTTATAAATTTTCCGACATTGTATAGCAAAACCTACATTGGAATGTTGGACAAAAGCTAATTTTAGGGGCAATTTCGCAGTTGATTCAGTTAACCATCATTTTTGAAAGCCTGCAGCACCATTTACATTGGAAGAAACCCTTTATCATTTATGTATGCCATCTAGCGCGACAGTGCTAATATGCTCATGACACAAATTATCTTCGTTCCGTTAAGAATCACATTGACCAGACTATTGTTGCGATGTTTGCTCGCAGGCTAATCCAAATATTGGGACTCCTTATCATGCAAATATACCAAAAAAGCGTACTGTTCTTTTTGCTTTCCATGCTTTTTAAGGTATGCAGCACAGAGTTTGGTTACTCGCGCCCGTCGGACAATTCAATCACCTTACGAATAGAATGGCTACACGTGTGTCAACTAAATCGGACGGAACACCGGCCGTACGATGAACTGATCAGTCTACAACATTATCAATTAAGGTAAGGCTCACTACGGTATCCTTACGCTCCTGAAGCCATGTATTAACCCAGTAAATTTTATTTCTGTTATTTTTTATCTTGCTAGCTTAGTTCATTTCTTCTCCTCAGTCACTCCATTATCAATTTCCCTCCACCCGTGAGTGCAAAACTTTCCACACTCGGTTCAGATCAGGTGCAATAGCTGAATGTGGTTATTATCAAGTGAACCTGTTTTCTTCCTAAGGGTCAACGTCATCGTTTGTTTTCTGACAACTGTAGTCCTTTCTAGTTGGCGCACAATGAAGCCGTTTTCCCGACGGGAAACGATTGTTCTGCTATAGCACTCAGGTTTTCAGGGCCCTTAACGGTTCCGCAAAGTGTCCAGTGCTTTATATTCTGCTTTGCAAGCTGGGTCATCCTGCCTTCTGAATTTTGATGAAAGCAGGTTCATGGGAGTACAAGAATATTCATAATAGCTTTGCTGTACATTTAAAACTGCTAAAACACTTCAGTCTGTTTGAGTAAATTATATACATGTAGTAAGGATGATGGATTCCGTAGGTTAATCACTAGTGTTTACTTGTGTCCGAAACCAGTTGCATCGTTTGTTTTCATATGTGAACAAAAAAGAGTAAGGATGGTTAGACTGAGGGTCGTAACATAATTTCCATTCTCAAAGAACCACTAAGAACTAGATTGCTCTTCTACAAATGCCGAGACTAGGAGCGTTTTGTACGGTGGATTATGATTTTACAAATCGCAGGTTTTGATTTGGTGATGAAAAAGGGTTCTCTTTATGCCAACTCTCTTCGTGAGGCAGGTTGACTGCGCATAAATGTTTGGGTTTCCGATGTGAAAACACCAACGACAGTTCTGCTGTGTGCAGAATTCCTGGAGTAATTATCTGTAATGGCTCAATGGTTATAGCGCGAATTCACTCTAGACCTTTTCCTGTCCAGACTTGGAAACTCGGCAGTATCATAGCCCTAACCGAAAGTGTGTTACTGCTGAACGACTGTTGTCTTTCCTAAATGACATGCTTATTGGTTGCTGAGGTGAAGTGGTCATCCAGGAAACTGAAAGCGCTGCTCATACGTTTCCGAACGATGTTGACGTCATCGGTATTTGATCTGTTAATTGTCATAATTGGAGCACTGGTACCCTGGTGACTCTCGAGTGGGGGACATTTAACAAAGCTAGATAACTAACAGTTTGGGCTGCCGAGGGGGGAAACTTTGACGGCATAAAAGCCATTAAAACTTGTCATACAACCTTCAACTAACGGCGAGTACATAAAATTGGGGAACTAGGCAAGTCCACCAGCGGTATACACAACAAACAAAAAGAGGTCAGTAAGTTTCCAGTGAATGACTGCAACAAAGGTGACGAGCTGATGATTGTGTTTATACAAATTTATTTTCCATCCTTTTGCTAACCCACAGCAGGATCTCCCACCTTTTTATTTTGGAGGACACATTTGGGCAAAATATACTGGCCACAACACCAGTGAACGCGAGTTCAAAAGTACCCGCATATTTATAGTTGTTGTATAATACGATAGTAACATAGGAAGAAGAAACATTAGATGATACTGGCAACTTTGAAATCAAAATATAGCGAATTGAAGTAAACTGTTGTAACCTGCTCTCCGGTTGTCTCCAGCAACTATTTTCAAGGATTTATACGATCAGTAATATTGTGTTCCTAATCAGACAGCAGCTGAGCAGTAACACAACAAAATTGAATATGCGGTGGCACCGTCGTATTTGGCTAATAATTGTTAACATACCTGGGTGTCAAATTTGCTGCTAATGAAAGATGAAATAAACACAGTCTTTGCGTTTCCCGGACGAGTTTTAAAGAACCATACCAGCAGTTGGTTTCCAAGGTTATTTTGAGGCCCAATTCGAGACAGTACCCATGAGAAAAATAAGTATGGTGAGCACAAAGTAAAATAAATAACAATAATATCACCGTACTTCAATCCCGGCTGAAGTGAAACTCGACATACGCAACTGACACAACCAGATTTGATATTGTATTGAAGTTGGAACAAGGTCGAGTATTATCCGGACAAATGAACTAACGATAGAATTGTCTCTCAGTTAACTGGTCTCACTGGGCGATCGAAGTTACACTTAAAATGCATAATAGATAAACGTAGATATACAAAAACTACCTGATGTGTACTGGCGGAGTCTCCTAGTATGGTGACACCATGTTTGTAGGTTAATTTTCACACTCAGTGAACATCAGTTACGTTACCGAAAATGGAGCTCCAATATTCCGAATGCACTCAACACGCTCCGATCGTGAAAATCATCAATATTCTAGTCTCTGTCTCATTACAGCGGGTTTCTGATTGACCGGAGTGGACAGTCCACCACTGGAGGCTTGAATATGAAAGTATTAATAACTGGATCATTGGATTTACCTCCGTTTTACTGTTGTTTCAATTTAACTGAAAACTGACAAACTCTGACGACTCTTTCGGTCAGAATAGTAGAAAACTTTGTCCGCTCAACGCTAAATTTGACCTTACTCCATATTACCCGAGGATTTTAAATGTCCTTTTGAGTATGGCAGTTACAGGATCCAAAAACTAACTCCAAGAATAAATTGCAGCTCAAGGATTGAATATATAGCACATTTGCTGTATTTTTTAAATTTTATTCAGCAGCATCATGAAGGATAAATAAAAACATACCGGCTGGTAACCTCTGGTAAGTGGAAATAAACAGAATGTTCACCATCCTCTCTGACTGTAAAAACGAGTGCTTTACTTACAGTGGTAGTGGCTGCCATATTTCAGTTAAGTTATAATTTGGGGGTAGGCTGGGGTAGCTACAAAGTGAAGGCAGGTGTTGACGACTATGCTGAGAAGATACAGAGGCGCCAGTGAAGTTTTCTTCGAGGTGACTGGGCAGAGAATCTGCACATGAAAGAGAACAGCTTCAATGCATGTGCACCACTGAGCATGCGACTGAGATATATCTGTCAATGCCCCTTAATTTTGATTCGTCCCGCATCGGGTTCTTCATCCAGGAAGACGTCGATTACCAGCGAAGATGAGTTTACGGACGAAATCAATGGTTAATCTCCATCCGTGTTTCGAAAAACATGCATGTGCTACTCGGGGTGCTGGAAACGTTGTCCAGCGGGTTTCAAGAGTCTGTGGTGCTACCTCCCCGGGAAGTCCTTAGAAGCAGGCCAATCGATCTTCACAGTCAGGACATTTGGTAAGTCGTCATACCGATGAGGTATCGGGCACACCAATCACATCGCTCCAGCGTGAATACGTTCGCACGTTCAGAGGTGAGAATTCAGATACGTCCAACGTGTGCTGGTGGAATAGTGGTGGTGCATTACAAAACATAGTGTTAACACGTTCGCTTTGCATGTCAGGTGTCCGGAGTTCAAACGCCATGCTTAGTTCTATGTGATTGTGTGTCCCAAGCTTAAGCATTTGACCCTTGAATTATATAGCCATCAATATCATTGTAATCTCATCCTCAAATCGGCAATGCAAACGACTATCCAAATGACATTTGCGCGTATATCTAGCAAAAGGCGAAAACTCCTTATTAGACAAAGTGAAAATGAATCCTGGGGATCAAATCAATCCCTGTTCCAGTATATATCGGAAATGGTATTATTTCGCTCAGAATTCTATGTAGCAATTATCTGTAATCTCCACTTGTATCCACCCTGGACAGCAGTCTGTAATTAAGTGGATTAATGGTTATCCAGAAAAAAACAGAACAATGTGTACCATATCCATCTTGATGACGTGAACGGAGACCAGCAGTCTTGGTTACCAATATTTCATAGGATGTGGTTGTTTCCCTGTGAGTGAGAATCTACTAAATTGCTTGGAAGATTCAACAGAGACCTCTATCCTACCGCAGTGAACATAATTTGCGCGCAGGAAATCCAAGTGGGGTTGTTCGTGATGAAGCATTTGCGATTTCATCCTTAAAAATTCCGGGCTAACTGAACATTGTTTTGTACACTGCTCAGCATACACACCCTAAGCTCAGTTCAGAAATACACCGATTTAAAATATGTAAACTGCATTCAGTCTTGAGTAAGGCTTGTTCTAAGAACAATCGATGAATCCACAAATGCGACATTACTAATACCACATCAATTGTAATAATAATAATAAGCTTTCAAGTTCGACGGTCTTTTTATGGTCAGCTGCCACATAGCTCAAGCGAATCACGAGGGCTGGCATACTGCCAGGCTCCTCAGGCCTAGATAGGGACTGTTGAGATGTAGAGGTTCGTTTGAAACCATAGTATGCTCAGTCAGTAAATCTGAACTTTTACCACTAAGTCCTCTCGAATTATTGACCAACAGGGGGTTAAGCCGGTGCTCACAGTGTTTGTCTACATTTCTTCTAGGCGGGCTACTCAGATCCCGTGGTGATACGTAGACTGGATGGCCGAGCAAACTGTTTAAAACTATTGGTATTGTGGAGGTTTATGGTAGTTCCGTTTCAACTTTAAGTTTCAACTTCATGATATATGAAAGTAGGACTTGCTCAAAGACCGAGATGTACAGTGTTTTATCTTGTTTTTTCGCCTTGTTACAGAATCATCATGGAATTACCACTTCAGAACCTCTACAAGAAAACCGGAGTGCCTGGGTTCAAATCTCTCCAAACATCCTCGAGAAGCCCTCTGCAGAAGCATTTAGGCTTGATTTATAGCTTTTGGCTCATGAAACTAATGATAGAGCACAAATTCCGAATCCGCTAGTTACCAATAAATTCATATTTGGTGACACGGTAGTCGCTTGAACCGATGTGATGACGTCCGCTATTGCACCAGGCTGGTTTATATGTTCACTATAAGTCCATTCGAGGAACCAACGTACCACCGTTCAGTCTGCTCAATCCTTGGGAAATACGTGCTACTGTCTAGCCCATACATTCCCTGTTCGGCCTATGGCTGTGGCCATGTCGTCACTTTTCGGTTTTTTAAAGTAATACCAGGTCTGTGTGCTTTAAGCCACTGTCCTTTATGGTCTTAAAAATATATCGCCGTTTGAGGTAACATCCCATCAATGTGTGCAACCAGAACTTTCTCAAGAGTACATTCAAACGAGGTGATTCCTTCCGGAAATTTATGCATCCCGCTGATTTTCAGATGCCACAGTGTGATATTAACTTAAAAGAAAACGTTTAAAAATTACAAAATTACTGACGATTGAAGAGCTCCAGTCATGTTTAAATCGATTTTACTTAATTGGTATTACCGCTTCACAAGGTACTCATACCCCAGAACGTTCATGACTCAATTTTGCGTCTGTTTCCGCTAGAATGTTGAGGGTTTTCGCCTTTATGTCCAGCAAATTTTGCATCAACGCAGGTAAAACGCGAATTCTTCTCCGTTTTTATTTTTTAGCCAAGAATTTAGCTCACAAATGCTATCGATGAAGCATGCCGCTAAGGCGGCACCAACTAACACCTCACGGAAATCGCTCACGCAAAGTGGCGAAACCTCCCCTGTTCATCGAGCGGGTGGTCCACTGAGTGACAACTTCAGTCAGCGTCAGTCATCCAAAACGCTTGGTATCAGTTTTTCAAGTCCAACTCATCAAGATAGAATTCGAAGTCCATCACGATTGCAACCGGGCAACTATATACACCAAACGGCACAGTTTACCAATACCACAAACCCAGTAAAAATAAGCACGCCACCGGTTTTCATTAATGGCTCCCCTCAAAGTGCCGATATGCGCGAACATACTGATATGCTCCAAATTGGTGCAACATGGCGTCGACACAGTTCTTGTTTGGAGGATGTTGGATCGAATGGACAGCGGACGCGTCGACGGCTACCATCTCCGCCATCATCCGCTTCTCTGAGAACAAGCGATGGGCATTTGTCCGTAAAGATGGAAACACATGGCAGCATTTCCAGTAATCCGCGTTTGCCCTATCGCAACTCAATCGGTCATCTTAATCCCTGATAAAAATCGGTGTGTGACCGCTTGAGGTATATTTTACCGTTTGTTTAATGAGTACTTCATGCACATAATCAGGTCCTCTCATCACGAATTCAATCGTCATTTTTGTTTTAACTTGAGTTCGTTTGTCACATCAGTGAGCCGTTCATCATTCTCGAAATTGCGTGTTTACAAAGCGGTGAATGAACCAATAATACACGGATTTTAAAGTGAATATATACAAGAAACAGTAAAACGTAATCCTTCCATATTTGCGCAAACGGAGGCTCATCACAGTGTTATAAAGAGTACATCAATCAAGATTCCACAGCCATTTTCGGATGCAAGGTGACTCCATTTGGAAAAGGTACGTAGCAGGATCTGGATTATTCCTTCTTAACGTGGCCGTGACTTATTTCTGCACTGCAGAGTTTCGGTATTTTCCAGAATCTCAGGACAAAGTGTGCGTCAACCGCGATATTTGAGATTAAAATGTCAAATTGTGCAATTAGTTAACGTAATCTCTTCGGTTCTTTGTTGGCTGTAGCATGAAACAAGGCTTAACTGCAACTTTTGAGTACGCTTTTGTTAACACAGTACTCACTCTTTGAGTCAGAATCAGAGCGACGATGTGTATTTGTATCTCAGATTACCCAACCGGCCTACGGCTGGGTAGGTTATCAGTCTCATCCACATCATTTCAAGTGCGCTTACATATATCGTGTGATTTCGTAATTTGTATGTGCGTGTGCGCACTCACTGCTCCAGAAGTTTGTAAACAAACTGGCCGATTTCATCGGATATCTTAGAGGAGTGTCAACGTTTACATTTTTGGGGACCCCTTCAATCTCCTGTTCTATGCTGCGCTCCTGTGATCGTCTGGCGGAGGGTCAGCTTAAAGAAGAAATCAATGCCAAGACAGAATAGAGGAAAGTGATATGATGAAATTGTCCAATTTAAATTTAAACTCAACATTCTTTAAGAGAATAAGCAGTACAAAGTCCCTGTCGGTGCAGGCAGTCGCCACACATCAAATTTGTCGAAATGCGAACACGAAAAATTCAGCGCTCTTTATTTCGTCTTTGATTTGCCTCTTACGTCTCCAAGATTTTTGTCCACATCGGTCAAAATTCTGTGAGGAACATTTATCCATGTCGTGTGCTCGCTGAATGTTTACTTATAAAGGGGGACAAGATTAAAAAATACCAAAAGGTTTCTCAGAAGAGGTTGTCTTCTTGTCTAAGGGAGATCAATAGAAATATTATCTCATGCGGCCTGCGCAATGGAAATGTCGTTTTATCCTTATTCATTTTCTAATCCGTTCGAAGTAAGTGTATGAAACTTTCATTACCCCTGCATATCCGTGATTCACATACAAGTTAGCATGTTGGGAACATGGTACTTAAACCTTAGCAGAGACAATTCTCCAGTCCCAACTGAAAGGCCCATTCAGAACAATCTATGGTTCTCATCAGCTGCCTGCAACTAATCTGGCAGGTCATTCTCAAAGTTCCTCAATCAACTGTAGTCAGGACTGAGATAATAACATTCTAAACGCACAAGTGAGTGCTTCAGTCAATAAGAATTATCTGGTTCCTGATCAGGAATTCGCGAACTGCCAATTCTGTCACGTGTTCCGATTCGCATTCCGAAATCTATCCATATTTTATATGTAGTGAAACACTTTTCCGTAGTTTATTGACAGTTGCACAAGCCAGTTGAGACATCTTTTGAAATGCAGATGTCTGATGTATCACGGAAGTAATTAAAAGAGCCTCTTTTTACTCGTTATCTGGGTCAGGTTTTAGGAAGGCTTATTCCTATACAATCGCAGAAATAATGGTAATTATGAGTAAACCTCCGGTCAGCTTGGATTGTTTCATTTTATTTCGTAGCTTTAGTGTAAACAGCTGGTATCGGGCTTTTCTGAACAAATATATACCATGTCTAAGTCGGTCCTATAATTTCAAACAACTTCCTCTGTTATCAGTTCGCTATTTTGCCTAAACACTAGACGAATCCAGAATCAACTGGGTCTTCCGTATCAACTAAGCAGATCCCCAGTTGTTCTTCCGATCGATGCAGCAAAAAGCACAAGTAATGGGTCATCTGAAGCTATTTTTCCGAGATGATGTCTCCATGGACCAGTTGTGATCAGAATGTCTGTATA